AATGGGGGATAATGGGGGACATCTGTAATACTGTCAATAAAAATGATAACAATGGGGAGACTTAATAGCTAAAATTTTCTCAGTTCTATGTTTTTCTTGTCTTAATTTTTTTTTAATCATCTTACGTCTGTTCTTGCAGCAAAATGAGCAAATGAGTAGTAAATGAGTAGTAAAATAATATTCACTGAAAACTTCAAAATTAGCTAACCATGCCCAGTTTGACAATGTGTGTCTTTTCGTGGTTATGGTTTTTGTAGTGCACATAAATAATATTGACAAGCAGAGGGGCATTTTGTGGTTCAAACGATGGGATTAAATATTTAACCATTTCATAGTGTTTTATTAAGAACACTAAGGACTTTTTTTTGGATCAAGTTTGGAAAAGACTGCTAAGATATGGTGGGCCCATTGCTTATACAAAGGTAAGGATTGACCCAGCCACATAATTAAGACAGTGGGTTGGTGACATGTTTTAATATGTCTTTAACTGTGGGTTACCTAAGGCTTGAGTACATATAGACATGTGCTCTATCTATATTCTCTTTTTAAGTTGTCTTGATGTATGTAGTTAGTTACTTAGATTCGTTCTATGTACCAGGTATTGTTCTACCTGTTTCTCTCACATGAACCCATTTAATCCTCCCAACAGCACTGTAATTCTATGAACAATATGCAATCATCTAATAGTGAGTAAGGAAACAGACACAGAGAAGTGAAACCACTGAAGTCAATTGGTGTATGAGAGAATTGAGATATAAACTCAGACAACTCTGGTTCTACAATCTGTGCTACTAACTACTGATATTTTTCCTTATAAAAATCTGCTGAGAAAAGTTAATTTATTGGCCATTCCACCATCACATTGGATGTTGGTGTTAAACCTCCACTGAGGCAAGGATCTTACTATAATTATAAGCTTGCTTTCTTGAATCCCTACCTACTAAAATTTTAAAACAATTCTCACACCTATACCTGGTTTTTGTTTTCTTCCCTACCAGACTCTAAATTATTTGAAATACTGGACTGTGTCTGAGTCAATATTTTTTTCTTTTTTTTAATTTACAGTGATGCCCATTACATTAGCTTCAAAGAGTTTCCCAGGAGTTAGTAAGCAATACAATTTTTTATTCCAAAGCACTTTATCCTACTCTT